AAAAAGAAAAAAAGAAAAAAACGAGTCCAATTCTATACTCAGAGAAAAATAATGCTGAAGCCAGAGGAATGTAATAAAATAAATTGTTTATCTACAGGAATAATTTAGACATCAGCGAGAACTAGAGGAAATACAACTTGGATAGCCAACATTGAAATGGGTGGGATATAGGCATGATTTCAATCTTGGTAAGGCTCCCAGTTACCTATAGGCTGATTACGAGAAAAAAGGCCTTGGGACGGGTGGCCCCTGTGGCTCAAAGGAGTAGGGCGCCCCCCCCATATGTAGGAGATTGCGAGTTCAAACTCAGCCCTGGCCAAAAACTGGAAAAAAAATAAAAAGGCCTTGGGGCCACAGCAGAATGCTTTGGAAAACAAATTGAAGGAATTTCACATGGGGATTTACATAGTAGGGCCTGATTTTAGTAGGCCCTACTATGTAAATCCTAAATCCTACTAAATCCTACTAAATGATGTAAATCCTACTAAATCCTAAATTTAGTAGGATTTTAGAGGCACAATAGATCAGAAATCCCAATACATATCCAAGATCACAAAAATTGGTGGACCATAGGCCAGATGACTGTGTCACTGGGAGTGGCCTGAATACTGTTTATTGCTTATTATTATTTGTAGAGATGGGGTGTGCTATGACACCCTGAATATTGTTTTTAAATTTTAGTTAATTCCCAACATATTACGTGAGGTTATAGTAGCATAAACCTAGTTCACTACAGCCTCAACCTCCTGGGCCTAATCAATCCTCCTATCTTGGGCTCCCAAAAGTGCCTTTGTTACAAGACAAAGGGGTTTGGCCACCTGTCATTGTCCAGACAATATGCAGAGACTAGGGGCAGGTCCACCAAGCTTTATTAAAAGGCCACCAATTCTGGAGAAGAGTGAGAGTAGACTGCAAGACTGTTCTGCCTCAGTTACAATTCTAATAATTTTTATCATGGGATACAAGGAAACAAATCTGGAAAATTTTAACCTTATCTAAAAGAAGCATCAAAGACAAAGTAAGACTGTCTGAAAAAAAAAATCAAAGAAAACAAAATACAAGTGGCCTGTACGCTAACAATGTAACAATACTTATTGTTTAAGTGTTATTACCTTCCCTGAAGTTTTTTGTGACACCCATCCTCCCAATCATGGTGAATCCTTAACTAGATAATCATGGAAGGTATGTGGGGAAAGAAAGTAGATTGGGCAAAGTAGGTCAGTCATTCGGCTTCAGCTTAGCTTCTCAGACTCCATTTTGTAGGTTGCTTTTCTAGCTTCAGGATTAAAGGAATGGACCACCTAACCCTACCCAGATTGCTTTTTTATTTATGTGTATGTATTTTTTTTTAGACAGTCTCACTTTGATGCCCTGGGTAGAGTGCCTGTCATCATAGCTTACAGCAACTTCAAACTCCTGGGCTCAAGCAATCCTCTTGCCTCAGCCTCCCCGTTAGCTGGGACTACAGGTATCTGCCACAACTCTCAGCTAATTTTTTTCCACTTTTTTGTAGTAGAGACAGAGTCTTGATCTTGCTCAGGCTGGTCTCGAATTCCTGAGCTCAGGTGATCCGCGAGCCTAGCCTCCAAGAGTGCTAGGATTGATACCGGAAAAGTGGCGCCCCAGCCAGCTCAGCTGAGCTGGGCTTGGGGACCTGCCATCTCTGTCTTGGTGGCAGCAGCCGGCAGAGGAACCAGCAGGTTGGAGCAAGTGGATGGGAGCTTCCCCTCCCCACCAAAGGCTCCAGTAGAGCAGCGCTAGAGGACCCGCCGGCTCTGCCTTGGCAGCAGCTGGCACACAAACCAGCAGGCTGGAGCAAAAGGGGGAGCTTCCCTCCCCCAACAGAGGCTCCAGTAGCCAAAAGAACTGAACACGTGTAGGGAAAGACACTGGCGCCATGCTGTCTGCTCACCTGGACTTCTGGCGATTCCTCCAGTGCATCCCTGATTGGTCCGTTTTCAAAACCTATTCACGATTAGTCTATTTTCAAGACCCAAAAGCTCATTAGACAACTGCCCCTATATAAGCCAGAGACCCTGAGCACAGACTTGGGCAGATCTCAGCAGAAGAGCAAACAGGTTTGGCTCTGTAACACTTCTATCCTGCTCTATGAGATTTGCCCCTTTGTAAGAGCTATAAGCACTCACAAGGGGGTTCGCCCCTTTGTAAGAGCTGTAAACACTTGGAAGGAGATTTGCTCCTCTATAAAAGCTGTGACACTCATATCATAAAACCTATCTTACTGCTAATTCTACTACACAAGAAGGTTTGGCTTGTTATAAGAGCTGTAACACTGTTGTTGTTGTAACACAGCTGTAACCTGTTGACTAAAACCTATCCTGTGGTCCGTCGCTTCATTCTTCGAAACGCGGAGACCAAGAGCCTGGAAATTCAGTATCAAAAATCCGGTAACAGGATTACAGGCGCGAATCACCTAGCCAGGCCAGATTTCTTTTTTAAAGGTGGGAAAAAAATTCTCAGACACATTGTAGTGACTATTGCCCAACTCTGTGAATATACTAAAAACCACTGACTGAACACATCCAATGGGTGAATTATGTGGCATGATTATGTTCTAAGAAATGAACAGCCAGGCCTCTTGGGGGTCTCTGAGAGTTGGAGAGTGCTCCATTTGAGGCTAAACCAATTAAGATCATATTCAATCCTGTTTGTTTTCTAACAGTTAAACCTGTTTTCCAACAGCAAGATGAGGTCAATAATCTCTACCTGGAAAGGTGATTTTTAAAAATACATTATTAGGGTTAGCCATGTACAGTGTGTTGACACACAGTAGATGCTCTGAAACACTACGCACACAGCAACGCACATACGCAGGTGGCCATAAAGTTTGTGACCCTGTGCAAATTCATATGCACGCCAACTCCGGGCCTTTGGGGAGGTTCTGAAAAGACCCGATCTGGAGGGCTGGTCTTATCCCTGCTGTCAGCCCTCCGCCCAGCCTCTCAGGTTCTAAGGGTCTGAGGTAACAGATAAGTCCACTAACCCTGGAGAAAAAGTCCGCATAATGAGGCCCAGGAAAAGCAAGAAATCATTATCAGGGTGTGAAGTCGCCCTAGTGACCGCGGGGGAGAGGAGAAGCGTTGCTACTTAACTGCAAGGGGCGGTGGATCAAACTGGACCGCCGCGGTGCTCCAGGGCCTCGACCGCTCCACGCAGGGCGCGACACCCAGAACAATGCGCAGCCTGGAGGAGCCGCGCCCGGGGGCGGGGCAGACGGGACTTGCCGGGAAATGTAGTGTGTGTAGCTCCGCCCACGCCGCCCCGCAGCTCGCCGGCCGTGCGTATCACGCGACTACAAGTCCCATCAGGCCCCGCGAGGCAGTATTACCCTGTCTGTCGCAGGGAAGGGAGTGGGGCGAACATGGCGGAAGGCGGCTCCGGCCGCCCAACGTGCGGCGGAGTTCTTAGCAGACCGGAGCCGAGCCCCAGCACTGGCGGCTGCAGCTTTCCAGAGTACGAGCTTCCCGACCTAAACACCCGCATTTTCCACGTGGGCGGCTTTGGGGAGTTATGGCGTGGCCGGCTTCGCGGGGCCGGGGACTTGTCACTGAGGGAGTCCCCGGCGCCCGTTCTGCTCGGGCGAGGAGAGGTCTCTAACTCGGACCAAGAGGATGCCGCTGTGGCCCGGGATCTGGGCTGCAACCTGGAGGCGGCCGCGGAGCTGAGGGCCGTGTGCGGGTGAGTGTGAGGCCGAGGAGCTCTTGCAGTTTGGGACCAGCTGGGGTGCAGCTTTGCCCCAGCTGTCCTCTGGAATTCATTCGTGGGTGCGCCTGTGGCTTAGACCTGGGATGGCAGGATTGCCCATTCCCTCGGCTCAAGCGAGAAGTCCTAGGACCCTGATGCACAATTTCTGCGAGTTGGAATAAAGGGACAAGACAGTTGCGTCAAAGGCTAGTTTTTCTATCCTTTAATTTTAACAGTGCTTCTTAGTGAAGAAAAGCAATCGGGATAACAGCGACTTGTACTTGCCATTGGCAGGTACTTTGACGATGGAGGAACCTGAGTAATGGTGAGGCTGGAGGGCTTAATTGGTGGAGTGTTAATAGTAGATTAACTGTGGTTTCTTGGGTGGACCTCCTAGATATGGTATTACTGAATTTTTTCCCAAAAGTGCCTTCTTTGGCTTGAAAATATAAAAATAACTTTTTATAATCTCTTTTGCTACTTAACACTCCTGGCTGCTTTCATCTGCCCTATAACCTTTTTATTATAAGATATCAGCACAGAATTCATTGTCTTGAGTTCCGGCCTCTCTTCAAGTCCCCTGCTGGATTTTACCTGACGAAATTATTCAGTGATGTATTTAAAACACAATGCTGACTCGCTCTGGACAAGATACATGGTGGACCTTAAAGTATTGTTTTCCCTTTTTGTTTTAGACTTGATAAACTGAAATGCTTTGAGGAAGGCGAGGACCCAGAAGTCATCCCAGAGGATACTGACCTGGTGACTTTGGGGTATGGAGGACTGTGCATTCGTTGTGTGTTATTTGTTTAAACATTTTTTAGTATACTGTGTTTAGAAAAAATGAAACTATAGTATTATCCACATACCTACTCCTTAAATTCAACAACTGTTAACATATGGCCATATTTGCTTAGCTGTATGTGTATGAGTTGCCTGCTGTGTGTCATCTTCTTTTGCTTATACCATTTAATAAGTTGCAGGCATCATGATAATTTACCCCTAAATATATCAGCATAGAGCTTCTATATATCTACAAAATATTGTTCTCCTATGTAATTAGCATGGTATTAATAAACCTAAGAAAATTAACAATAAATAATCTCTAATATACATTTTATATTCAGTTATGTGTTTATTTTTGAATGTTTTACAAATCTACTTATATTTGGGGTGCAACCCAAATGCTCTGGTAGCGTTTCTTGAACTGTCTGGTAAAGGACCAGATTTTAACATTTTTAATCTTTGACAGATGCATACTTTTGTAAAATACTATAAAAGACAAATACTTAAGAATGAAATTTTAAAACAATGTGAGTTAAAATTTTTTGTTGTTAAATTCAACAGACATAAATTTACTAGCAGCTTATAATGAAAGTTTCTAAACACTTTAATTTTCTGTGCATATTACATAACGTATAGGTCACAAATCAATTCCAGTTTGCCTACCACACTTTGAGAAGCACTGCTCCATGATAATGCTATAGAAAAATTGTGCATATTATAATGAAATTTATAATTTCACTGTATTTCACACCACCTCACCTGTGTTATGTTATTCTTGATCCTAGCTTTTCTATTATTCCTCTCAAAAACTTGGGTAGTTATTTCCACTCTCCTGTTTTTTTGTTCTAACTGCCGAATCTGTTCCCCTGATCCTCATTGCTAACATTTCCATTAGCAACACTTGGAGTGCTATGAAAAGCTTCCATTTTTTCTTAGTACAGCTTTTCACCTGATTTATCTGTTATGCTACTGGAGTATGCTATTTTGCTTTGTCAAAGGCTCTACATCTTCTCTATGGAAAAATTTCAGATTCATAGCTAGACTTTTGAACCCTTCCACATTTATCCCAAATCTGCCTTTCCAGATTCATTTTCAACCATTTTGTCTTTCAAATGGTTCAGGATGCACTTGGTCTTTTTTCCGTTTGAAGCCTGCTAGATTCCTTAGGAAATAGCTGCATTTGCCTTGAATGCTGACATTTCAGAAGTCCTTGAAGACTCATTGAGAATCCAGACTGCCCTTAAGCCTATTTTGCCAGCTCCAGTTGGTGATCTTGTATTGTTGATTGATTAAGTTGCTTTGTCTAAAATACATGTGATTGTTACTCCCTTCCTTATAACGTAAACTCCTGAGTCTTTAAGTGGCTCATAAACCCCTTTGTAGACTGGACCTTGAGGGTCTTTTGATGTTTGTCTCTGCAGTGTTCCTGCCTGCTGCACTGTGTTTCATTTCCTGAATGTGCTTTCTGACTCTTAAGCCTTTGCTTAAAACATTCATTCTTCCTTATCCCTGTGGCCTTGCTCACTTCCACTTATCCTGAAAGTCTTAGCTAAAGGACTAAAGACTCCATTTAGGTCTCCTGGTATGCTCATGTAACACCTCATGTTTCTCTATGGAAATACTCATCATTCTTATAATATCCTTGTTTAATTTTCTACCATCTTAGCTACCCTTACAAGCTTCATAAGCCCTATCTATCACACTGCTTAGTTTCTAGAACTATAGTACCTAATAGGGAGTGAACAATTATAATTGTAGAATAAGCGGAATAAATGAAGCTGTCAAAACTCAAAAATGATTTTTAGATATACAGTGAAAAAAGAAGGCTGATGATAATCGTAAACAAAGCAGACTTTTTGCTATAGCTGAACATATTTATTAAGTGGCTTTATCAAGATTTTATTGAAGCATGTGGAATAGTAATTTTAAGATTACTTAACACATTCCCTTTTCCCTGTCTGCTTTCCGTTACTAGGTCAACTAGATCTTGTTGCTTGCCATCTGGTCCCTCCAAACATAGGATGTGCAGAAAGATTTTGTATGTGTAATGTTAAAAGAGTTAATGTAGCATGCCTCTGCTGGAATTGTTTCAATGTACTATGTGACTTATTAACCTTAATGGTCCTGCAAAAAAGTTAGAATTGTGGCAAAAACCTAAATCTATCTATGCTTTCTCTTCTTCTAAAGTTCTGTTTTTTTTTGAGGTGGCGTCTGTCGGTGGTGGGTTTAAATCCGGCCCCAGCCAAACTGCCACAAAAAATAGCCCAGCGTTATGGCGGGCGCCTGTAGTCCCAGCTACTTGGGAGGCTGAGGCAAGAGAATCGCCTAAGCCCTGGAGTTGGAGGTTGCTGTGAGCTGTGACGCCACCGTACTCTACCGAGGGCTACAAAGTGAGACTCTATCTCTAACAAAATAAAAATAAATTAAGTTCCTTTTTTCTTAACATAAAAACAAAACCTAAGCACATGATCCCTTTATTATGGCATAAAATAAATAAATTTCCAGCACCATTTCTTTCCCCTGTCTAATGAAGGAGCTACTTAACTCATTTTATGCATATAAGAGAAAAAAAGGTGATTGATAAAAATTTTCTGTGATACATGCTACTAGTCTGTAGCAAGCTAAATAACTTGTCTTTAGTACTTTTGAAATTTTGAGTTCTTAAAAAGTTTTTAATTCCTAGGAGTAGGAGAGGGAATTTTTATTGCTTGGGTACTTGGACGTCCAGGTCATCTCCAAAGCGTCATCATTATTACTTTGAATGTAATAGTAATTTCTGTTAAGATTATTCTGCCTATCCCCCTCACTTTTGTATTCAAAAAGCAATGTTTACTGATCCAGTACTTAGGATGAAAAGGGGAAACTTAAGATTCCTGCAAGTGAAAGATGACCACAAAATTGGAGGACTGACCACTCCAAAACAACCACAAACAATTTAAGAAAATGCAAACAACTCTAGTATATATGGGCTTTGCTAGAATGACATTAAACTGGGGAATCTTTTTTTTTTTTCTTTTTTAATTGTATCATAGCTGTGTACATTAATGCAATCATGGGGTACAATGTGCTAGTTTTACACACAATCTGAAATGGTTTCATCAAACTGGTCAACATAGCCTTCACGACATTTTCTTAGTTACTGTGTTAAGACATTTAATAAACTGGAGAATCTTATAAACTACCAACTTTGTCCTTCTAAGTATAAAAACAAACAAGAGGAAATAAAATCCAAAGAGAACATATTGCAGAAAATCACAAAACAACTGTTTATGCAAATCACCCCCCCAAAAAAACAACCAGGAAATAGAAGAAAACCTCTAAGTCTACATTGCAAACAGAATTGAATATACTCAAGCATTTGAGACCTTCTGGATTAGAAAGTTAAAAACTAAGAATGAAAATGAAGAAAAAGGGAGAAATGAATAAAGAATGAAGTGCAGGCAATAAATGGAAGAAAAAATTATCTCATAAACAAATAAATCATGAGATACCCAAGGGAAAATAGACTCAAATAAAAATTTAATAAGGGGCAATGAACAGAGTTATGAAAACAACCAAAATCATTGAAAATAAAGAAAAAAGTAAAATGGGTCACAGAATATATTAGGAATGTAAACAGGCACAGAAGACATAATATTGAAATTATCAGTGTTCCTGAAGAAGAAAAAGCAGTGGAACAGATGTGATATTTGAAAACATAAGAAAAATTTTCAGAAATGGAATAAAACCAAAATTGACAAACTGAAAGGTCTTACAGGCTACCTGGAAAAATTGACCATAATTATCAACTCTGTGATCTTAGTAAAACTATTAGATTTAAGAGATAAAATCATCAACTCTTCTAGGCAAGAAGAACACATAACTTACAGAAGCAAAGGCAGACTTAAAAAAAAGCATCAAATGTTGCAAAACTGACAAAGCAAGGCAATAATAAAGTGGCCTCTTTTTTAAAACTAAAGGCAAGTGTGAACTATGGATTTTATATCCAACTGAGATATCCTTTACATAGCTAGGCTATAAAAAAAGTTTCCAACATTAAGAACTTGCATAATTTCTGTATCAGCCACTTCTGAGGAATATATTAGAGGTTGAATTTCATGCAACCAATTGATGACTAGGAAATTTTCAGCCAAAGGATTAATAAAGTAAGAGGACCAGGGTAGAAGACTAATGTCTAATTATTGCATATTTTAACGAAGTACAATATTGCAACTAAAAGATGGCAGGAGAAGAGAGGATAATACATGGGCAAGTGGGCATTTAAAAAGAATACCGAGGAGGAAGAAAACCTAACAAACCAGAAGCAAAAGATTAAAGAAGAAAATGAGTAACTAAGGGTATTTTAAAAATTTAAGTGCAAAGGTATTCAGAACAAAAATAGAAACACCAATCCCTACGCCCCAATTTATAAAACATAAATGACTGAGTACCATGGCTCATGCCTGTAATCTTAGCATTCTGGGAGGCTGAGATAGGTGGATTGCTTGAGCTCAGGAGTTTGAGACCAGCCTGAGCAAAAGTGAGACCCCCATCTCTACTAAAGACAGAAAAATTAGCTGGGCATTGTGGCAGGTACCTGTAGTCCCAGGTACCCAAGTCCAGTACTTGGAAGGCAAGAGGATCACTTGAGCCCAAGAATTTGAGGTTTCTGTGAGCTATGATGACACTACAGCACTCAACCCAGGGTAACAGAGTAAGATTGTCTCAAAAAAAAAAAAAGAAGTACATCTTATAATGAAAAAAAGGTAATGTATAATGGAGATTATTTGGCATATTTATAAAAATTGATTATGTATTAGGTCACAAAGGAAACATTAACATTCATAAAATAGAAATAGTGCAAGTAACACTGTAGTTACAAGGTAATAAACCTAGGATTTACTAACAAAAACAGAAATCAGAAAGGTCCTTCACCTGGAAATTTCAAAGTTTTTTAAAGAATAATTTCTGGGCTCAGCGCCTGTGGCTCAAGCGGCTAAGGCGCCAG